TGTTTTGGGGTCTGGGATGGGTTTTGGGGATGTTTTGGGGCTGTTTTGGGGTCTGGGATGGGTTTTGGGGCTGTTTTGGGGCCGTGCCCCACTGACCCCGTTCTCCCCAGGCCCTACGTGCGCTCCAAGGGGCCGAAGTTCGAGCGGGCTCGGGGCCGCAGGGCCAGCAGGGGCTACAAGAACTGAGACCCCTCCCCAAAATAAACGGGGGGAGGAGCCCCCTCCCCCCAAAACACCAACCCGTGTCTCTGTGTGCTGAAATCCCAAAAAACAGTGAAAATCCCCTGAAAAACCCCAAAACCACCCCAAAAACTGATCCTGGGGGAGGGGAACGAAGAAAAATTCCCTGATTGGCCTCAAAAACTCAACTTTAGTGGACTGAGACCCCCCCAAAAACACCCAATTTCCCCATGGATTCCCAGATTTCTCCCCCAAAAATGCACATTTTCTACCCAAACCTTTCAACTGTCCTCCCAAAATCTCATTTACCAAAAAAATCTCTTTTTTTTACTTCTAAAAATCCCCTTTTTTTACCCCTAAAAATCCCCTTTTTCCCCCCAAACAAACGCCACCTTTCGGGGAGGGGGGGGGGTAAATTCTCTTTATTGCCCCTCCCTCCCCCCGCCCCTCCCCCCGGCCGGTTTTGGGGTCCCCGCGGGAATTTTTGGGGACCCCTCCCCTCATTTCTTGGGCTCGTACTGGATCAGGCGCATGATGGCGTCGTTCTTCATCACGCCCTCGATGAACTCGGCCTCCGCGATCTTGTCTGGGGACACAGCGACAATTCGGGGAGGGGTCCCGGGTCTGGGGGGGCCGGATTTGGGGAGGGGGCCCGGGGAGGGGATTTGGGGTTGTTTTCGGGTCATTTTGGGTGGGTTTTGGGGGTTATTTGGGGTTATTTTGGGTGGGTTTTGGATTTATCTGGGGTTTTTTGGGGTGGGTTTTGGGGGTTATTTTGGAGTTATTTGGGGTTAGTTTGGGGTGGGTTTTGGATTTATTTGGGCTTATTTTGGGCTTATTTTGGGGTTATTTTGGGGTGAGTTTTGGGGTTATTTTGGGGGTTATGTGTGGTTATTTAGGGGTTGGTTCTGGAGTTATTTTGGGGTTACTTTGGGGTGGGTTTTGGTGGTTATTTTAAGGGTCTTTAAGGCGTGTTTTTTTCGGGCAAGATTTTGGGGGTCCTGGGGTGGATTTCAAGGGGGGGTTGAGGCACTTTTAGGGCATTTTTAGGATTATTTTGGGCGGGTTTTGGGGTTTATTTTTGGGGTTGTTTTGGGCGGGGTTTGGGGGGGTATTTCAGATTATTGGGGGCAGTTTTGAGGCGCTGTTTTTTTTGGGGGGGAGGTTTTGGGGTCCCGGGGGGGGGTTTTGGGGGTCCCGGGGAGGTTTTGGGGGGCTCGGGGGGGTCCGCACCGTTCTCCCCTTTGTTGAAGTAGGCCCAGAGTTTGTCCGCCCGTTTTTGGGGGGTGTTCTCGTCCTCGGGCAGCAACTTCTGCTCCTCCAGCGGGATCATCTTGAAAATCGCCTGGGGGCCCCCAAAAACTCATCAGGAACCCCCCCCGGGACCCCAAAACCGGGTCAGGGGACCCCAAAATGGGTCTGGGGACCCCAAA